GCGGGTGTCGTTCGCAGTGCCCTCAGGTGAACCGAGAAGTGGTCTCGGGGAACGCGTGGAGTTGCCTGGTCGGCGGTGCAGGAGAAGCGTCTTTGCGATTAGTTTGTGACTGTTTTCGCGGTGCTTTACGTGCTGCTAGGTGTATAATAAAGGATTTTTGTTTTCTTTTTAACAGCGGGATTAACGGCTATTCTCTGTTTTTGCAAAGTTTTAGCCGGAGAGCGTGATTTCCCTATTCTGTACTTCCCAGAGCTCTGTCACATTTTACTGGCATCCATTAATGCTACAGCAAGAACATCCTGAGTCCTTGGTCAGTTCTCTGGTGCTCTCTGAAATAGAAATGGCTTACTTGGGAGCAGAAAGGAAAGGATTGGGTCATTTCTGCATGTTCTGCAGAGTGCTGGAAGGAGCTGTGTGGTGAAAGCACTCCAGCAGGCTGCGAGGAGAGAAACCAACTGGAATTCCTCCTGTGTCCTTCGCGTGCTCCTTTGCTTTCCAGAGTTCAGTACACCACACCTAGAGAAGAAGCTGTGCTATGCAGAAAGGATGGTCCTATGGATAAGAGAGTAATTTAGGCCTCAGGAGTTTGGTGCTCAGTTACTAACTGCTTATCAGCTTTGTGTGAGATGGGCATAAGTGACTGTGCTCATCTGTATCCCAGAGTCCCCATCTGTAAAACAAGGCTATGGGTTTCCAAACCTCTCTAAGGATAAGATGGTGTGTCTCTCTGGGCCCACTGTACAGCAGGATGACTGAAGGCAGATTAAGCTCTCTTGATACATAGCTATGTATTGCAGGTCGATGTCTATGTGTATGATTATATAGTTTGATCCAAATTTTAACTTTATCCTTTTAGAAAGGATAAAATGTAATATTACCTTCCTTGATTTTCAGACAAGAAACATTTCTTGTTTTTGAAGCACAGGTCAACTTTTCTTCTAGTTCATGAGCTCTTGCCAGCTTTGCTAAGCTTCTGAGGAAATGAGCCTTTGACATCACTGTTGCTCACAGGTGGAAACATGCTTGTGCCCCTGCAGAATGCTCGTTTCTGTTACATTATGTTCTTCTTGTCATACTACCAGTAATTAAACACCGCTTTTTTTTCCTCCCTATTGATCAGTTGCTGAAGTAAAAGAAACTTCTATCCTCCCCATGCTAACTGTTGACATGGAAAACAAGGAAAATGGCTCTCTGGATGTCAAAAAGTAAGTGAATTTGTAGTGTTCCTTTTATGTAAATAGCACATGGATTTTGCACGTTGTTTCCCTTTGACTTAATGTGGTTGCCAGTGGTGGACATCTCCATCTTTGCTCATTTCATACTTTTCCTGTTCTCAGTTACTTTTGTTGTGTTTCAGCTTTGAAACAGAAGAGTTTAGGGCACTGAATTGATTAAGAGAGACAAATGCCCTTCTCTGCAGACAGCCACCTGTCTAGAGCTGAGAAGTAGTAGCACTTTGGTGTCAGTTATCTTCTGAAACAGATATTTTAAGCTGTTAATTGGAGAAGCCCTAAACTGCTGGGTTTTTACTTCAGACCTAAGGTGGGAATAAGAGACGTGGTTTGCACTGCTCTTTCTTTTGTGTGGTAAACTGCAAGCTAAGGGATAGGAACTGTTTTGTAGGCATTTACTTATCCTTAAAGGTCAGAAATTCCTGGGTTAGAACTCACAATTCTGAATAAAGTTATGATCTGAGACGTGAAGTTCTGTGTGGAAAAATTTGGCTTTGCTGCTTTAGGGTTATAGAAGCCATGCTGAGATAGATATGCACATGTATATATATATTAATAAAAAACCCCAAACCACAAAGAGAGGTACTAGAGTGAGTTCTTACTCTGTCCTCTCAAACTGCAACACTTCTGCGCAGCTGCACCTCATTCTTTTCCTTCAGATCTCTTTTACATAAGCCCTCCAAGAAAATGTGATGATGCTTAGGCTACCAGGCACTGGAGTAATATAAATAATAAGAATAATGGTCACTTCGGTATGCTGATATCATACCTGATTACGACACAGCATCAAAAGATCTGATGGCAGCCATTAAAATCAGCATCCTCCCCCTTCACTTGAGACGCTGACTACAGCACACCGACATAAAGAGCGTTTTCCTAATCAGTGACTATGAATAGATTATATGGTGTATGTCCCTCAGAAGCCACCTTCAGCTGACAGTCTGCCTTTACAATGAGTACTCTGTGGTGGGAGGAGAAGGAGGGCAGTCAAACAAGGACAGTTTACGTTTAATCTTTTTCCCCAAGGCTTGGGCGATAAAGGCTCAGCTGCCGATTGCGAAGGTGCTTTTTGAAATGGATGGGAATTGTAACGATACTGATCAGGAGCTGTGGTTTCTAGATGAATGTATATAGCATGTTTGTGTGCATATCTACAAAGGAAGTATTTGGCACTTTCTTGAAGGGGTTATAAATAGCTTGGATAAAATCTGTTTGTTCACAGCTAGATCCTTTCAGACCTTGCTGCTTCTGCCACATGATGGCAATAAAGGCACAGGGACAGTGGTGAAAAGCAGACAAGCCTCATCTTTATTCATTGTCAGTGCATCTAGTATCTCGTTGCAAAGCCTAAAATGCCAGTCCTCTTCAGATTTTACAGCATCCAGGATGTCAGGCATAAACCAGTGTATGGCTAAGCCATAGATATTATATATTCCCTTTTCTTGTCTAAAGAATAGAGCCATGTCAATGGCAGGACAAGGAGGAGATTGTTAAAAGTCTAGAAGCCAAGTGAGCATCTGTGTGGGTAGGTAGGTTAAAATCCAGCCAGCCTCCAGCAGTCTGCCACATGCCTTCCAGTCTTCTGCAGCTGTAGCTGTGGGAATTGGCTCCACTTGAGGTCCAGCATGATGCTATTCCTTGAGGCAGGAACTTGCAATTATTTCCTCTGATTAGCTAATGACTGAGGTAGAGCCCCTGAAGTTGCAGTTGAGCCTGAAATGGTGCTGGACCAAGCTGTAGTTCCCTAGTGATAAAAGAAGAGCTACAAGCACTAGCACACCTGAGATACAAAACTGTTGGAAGGAGGGGTTTGCACCGTATTTGACTTGAAATCAAAGTGTTTGGGGAAGTAAGCATATTATGGTTAGGAGTTGTTTTTACAGATTAAAGCTTCTATTTGCTGTTTAGGAAAGATTGAATTTATTATCTCTTAAGAGGTTTTTTTTAGTACTGAGTTGTTGGGGTTTTGTTTGTGTATTTTTAATTGTAAATGGAAGGTGAGTCATTGAAAGTGGTAGTCTTTGTCTTAGGGAAAATGCAAAGATTTAAATATAAATCTTCAAATGCTGCTTCAAATGTGTAGGTTTTGTGTGGTGCTTTTCACATTTTGCTTCTTAAGCCTCAGAATATGCACAACACCAGAAAGTCTTAATTGAAAGGCATTCTTTGATATAAAAAAAAAAAAAGGGTAAAAAGTGCAGCTCTGATAGGGCCCAGAGAGTCTCATTCTCAGATTTGCTGAGTGTTGCTTTCTATATAATCACAATCAGTGGGGCAATTCATGAAGTAAGTCATTATGCAATGAGCAAAAGTAAGAAGCTCCAACCTTTTGCTCATTGCTGTTAAACATGTGTGTATCCCATGTGATAAGTGAAAGAAACTGCTTTCAGAAGGCCAAGAACAGACAGGTTGTGATGAGTCCCTACGGCCATGTTTTGTTGCCATAATGACAGGTACATTTCAAGGGTTAGAGGAGACTCAAAAATCATTGTTTACACAAGTCTTTCTTCCATGGGCTCAGATAGTTGTAGAAACCAGGGGGGTTGTAGAAACAGTGATGGGAGGAACTCGATGTGATTTCCTTTGCTTCTCTTCATGGCTGGTTTGAAAAATGGTTGGCCCTTGTTATTTCACTGAAAGACATGCAAGTCCAGGCAAAGCAGAGGTAGTGACAGATGGAAAAGAAAAATTTGAAGTTCAGAACAAAAATGCTGTCAGGAGAGTATAATCTGTGTTTCTTTTCCAGCTGGTGCTGTGGAAATCAAAGTCCTCCCTCTAAACCTCAGGCCTGAAATGCACAGGATTCTGCCATCTGCCCTGATCTGTACATTTTTGATAATTCTTCATTAGCATTATGGTTAAGCATGCAGAACAGTGTAAAGAGTCTGGTTGGAGAAACATGTTAAAGAAGCTCTCTGATGTCTTGCTCTTCATCCTCATAAATTGCAATAGGAAAGGCAATCAAGCTCATTGTGTTGGTTTTTTTAACCAAGAATTTGTAGATACACAAAGGTTATCTTTTTTATAGGGTGATGACAGTTTGAAGATAAGAAGTGCAGGACAAGGACAGTAATATGAATGTTTAGTTGATTTTGCTACTGTGGAAAACAATTGCCTGAGGTTAATCACAGAAGGAGTTAATTCTGATTGTGTTTAACAGATGTTTTCACAGATTCACAGCTATTTTAAAAGTCCATAGATTTGTCCAAAGATGAGACCAAAAACAGTTTTGGGAAATTTTCTATATTGAGAATTAGTGAAATCAGTTGTGTTTGTTTGTTTGTGGTTTTGGGGGGGGTTGGGTTGGTTTTGTGGATTTTCTTTCTTTCTTTGTTTTGTTTGTTTGTGTTTTATGTGATGTTGTTACTTTACAAGGTAAAGATGGTTACCAGTAGTTTCTGCCAGTGTTACAAGGAAGCACAGTCTCATCTGGGAAAACAATAATCCACATACAATTTTTTAAGTATGTGGTGGCTGAAAACAAGCTACAGGCTTGAAAGACAGGGATTTGGTACTCAGTTGTGGCAGTCTTTGTTCTCCTGCAGCAAAGGCAGCACACTTGTAGGAAAAAGTCCTGACTGATTATCTTGGGCTGATGTGAAGATTTAAATACTTTCTTCTTTTCTGAAGGGAGAAGTACCTTAGTTGCCCCCAGCATAGGTCTTTGAAATGGAAAAGAACAGGAGTGGCTGCTCTGTATCAGGGCGGGGGTGAGGGGTATGTCAAAGAATACTTTTCCTAGAGAAACAGGGAAGGAGGGCATGTACATGGGGTATGCACAAAGAAGCAGCAGATGTTCTGCACACATTTAGTGATTACTTGTCTGGGTTTGCACTTTGCAGTTCAGTAGAGAACGGGAGACCTCCAGATCCTGCTGACTGGGCTGTTACCGATGTTGTGAATTATTTCAGAACAGCTGGATTTGAAGAACAAGCCAATGCTTTTCAAGAACAGGTAAATCTGTTAGCAAACACCTTTTGACTGCCACCAGTTTCTCATGGTGCACGTTTTTGCTGTGGACCTGGTTACATGCTGTAAAATGGGAATGAAAATCCCACATTACTGGGGGGATTTGAGTCTGTTATTGGGTAACAATCCATGGGACTACAATCTTTGAGTAATAATATTGTTCTACAAGCTGTGGATGACGGAGTTTGTTTAAAATAGTCACCAGAAAGGTGAGAAATCTAAACAAATTTTCTGGCTCGAACTTGGTCTCCCAGTACAACCCACTCAGTTTTGCTGTTGTTATTTAAAATGTGAATGGTAATTCCCTTGTTTCTTAGTGTATTGTGCAGATATACTCATGATTATATATAAAACCTGGGGCTCATAAGCAACAAGTTGTTTTTGAAGGCCTAGGGTGAATAAAGGCCTGCTGTATTGCATTGAACTTGGCAGTATAAGTATACAGGGAAAGGACAAGTTGGCAATAAGTTGGCAGAGGAGCAGCATGGTTGTAGGACAGTCTTGAGAAAGAGGTTGGGTCTTTGTTTCTGGGCCTTGTAACTGCTGATGCTAATGGATGGCTTCTTTTGGTAGATTTGATCAGCAAATCACTTTAACAGTCAGATGGCCCCTTTTAACTTGCCTGCCAGCACAGTGAGTGGGGCAGAATAGGGAAGTTGGCTTACTTGGCCTACAGCCCACCTGTTCCATAGAGAAGTAACTTACAACTCCAGATTGTCAGTTCAGCACCTTCACTGAAAAGTCTGTAGGTTTGTGTGCAACTACCTGGAAATTAGTCACCAACACTTACTAGTTATCGAAGTAGATGGCTTGACCTTCCAAGGCACTGAGCTAGTGGAAGTTATTGGCAGCTTTGCAGGGACACTGTGTATCTCACATTAAACAGCATTATCGATGGTCAGGTTAATGTTGCTGACCTTCAGCACCATGTCTGTGAAATCCCATCTGATTGTAATCGATGAATATAATGAAGTATCTAAATTTAGCTCTTTGTTCTTGGGGGTGAAAAGCCTGGTGTTGGGTGATTCTCTGGAAGGTTGCAGGGGAGGCTCTTTCTGCAGCTGCTACTCGTTTTTCCAAATTTGAAGATGGATAAACAGGCCAAAAAAGAAAATGTTGAAGTGTGTCCATTCCTTAATACCCGCATCCATGTCTCCTCAACAGCTCTGGAAATGTGGCTTAAAAAAACCACACAGTCAAAGTAATTGTGGCTTCTGGGAGTCTTTTCCTTATACTGACAGATACCTCTGACTTTCATCAAATATCTTAACTTCTCTGCAGCTCAGCTGGCTTGTCAATACTACTGCAGTAATTACTACTGGTCTTGCAGCAGCTAGATGAGGCTAACTCCTGAGTTTTGGCAAAGCAATTCACAACAGCCTTATGGAAAGCAGCGAAGGAGTAGAGTGTAAAGGTTTTATTAGTACTCAGCAGTGAGGGCAAACGTCTTCACCTGGGTAACTGAGGGTTCTGCTAGGACAGCTATGGCTGTGATTCCAATGCCAACTTCACTTTATGCCAGAGCCTTGGAGAGAGAGGCTAACAGCCGCCACCAGGATGTGGCCAGGAGATGTGGGATAGACAATCACAGCAGAAGGCATTGCCACCTTCTTCCCCCTCCGTTCCATTAGCAGCACAAGGAGCAGCAAGTACCTGGTTCTCCATGCCAGCTCTGCCAGCTTATTCCCTATCTGCACCAGGAACAGCCCCATAAACAATCTCATCTCTAACCTCTTACCAGTGGTGGTGTTCAGTTTCTTCTACACTATTTACTAGCCACTAACTTTAACTCTGTGTACTTACAGTATTTGTTATCAGGATCTTCCAGGTATGGCAGTGCAGACAGGTTCACTTTGAGGCCCTAGCCATCCTTTCTCTGTAGAGCACCAGGCATGGAGCTGAAGTTCTGGCCATCTCTGTTTTCCTCTGCCATTTGTACTGCAGCTCGTCTGGACCCCAGAAACCTAGTTTCATTTGATCTACTACTGCCCTGAGTATGTACTGGAAGAGGAATGAGGTTGTAAGTGGTAAAGGAAAGTATTCATTTCACCCACAGCACTGGGAAGTTGTTTTCCACTGAACTGATTCAGTAGGGGTAGCACAATGGTCTCCTTACAAAACATCCATAGCCCAGAATGTAATCATGATATCTAATATTATGTTCAGTTTTTACACAACAGTAGCCAAGACCACACTTGCTTTTGATGAAATTGAATATTTCTGGACTCACCTAAAACAAGTGACTCAAAAAAATTTTAAGATCTGAATTTTTCTGACAACATTTTAAGGAAATTGAGAAGACTTTTTAAGGACTTCTGCATGTTTTATTAAAACTGTATTGTAAATGCTGGTAAGAAGTGATGATTGTATGATGATTGTACATTATTCCTTCTTGGAGTTCCACTGATGCCAGCGAATCAAAAGAGCTCACTGACGAAAACAGTCAACTGAAAGATGTTGCCCAATAACAAAAATAACATCAGCAAGCAAATTAGACAAGCCAAGAAGTTGGGGACACAGGATACCTAAAGAGGGAGGAATACCAGATGCAGGATGAGGGTGTGAACACCTTAAAAGAACTGCTCGTATATGGTTAAGCTTTCTCTAGGAGCATGGGGACCGCAGGGGGCTGTTGCTCACTCCAGCTGTTTGCAAGGTCCCATGACCTTGTCATGCTACCTCTGTGACCTTTTGTTATTGCCCATGTGGCATCTTAACCCACGTCAGCCCAAGTAACCCTGTGCTAGTTTGCTGGCCTCACTGCAATGCCTCACCAGAAGGGAAACTGAGGTTTGATACTAGCTTGTGTCCACTGCTACTTTTTAGCAGAGCCATGGCATGGAGGAGCTGTGAGCATGCTGGCTGCTATGCTTTAGTGTTACTCTTGCAGTTCTCAGTCACTTAGAAAAAGGGTAGAAAGAGTGGTGGGATGACTCGAAGTTTAACCAGTCCTCTGGTTATTAGTGGAGACAATATGCTACTGCTGTTCAGGTCATCCTGGCACAGTGGGGAATTACTGTTAGCCCTAGTTGTGCAGAGGAGTGTCTCTGCAGGTACCATTAAAAGGGCTTACTGAAAGCTAGCATTGAAGTTGCATCCCGAAAAAAGCCAGAAAATAGAGAAGAAATCACAGAATTCATCAAAGCATACAAGTCTTACCTAGTGCCAAAAACCTGACTGTGACAAATCTGCTCAGCATGTTTATGTGGAAAACTTAAAGGAAGTGGAAGAGATAAAGGTTACAGTACATACAGAGATAGAAAACACTTGAACTCTGAATACATAATCATTCATTTCTACACAGATGTGTTTAGAGAATCAGCTTTCTATTCAGTGAAAGCCTTAGTAGTTACCAACATTTCTAGAATCCACGGGGAACCATGTGGAAGAAGAAGGGAAAGGAATAGATGCTTTTTTCCTATTCTTGGAGTTTCTCCTGTTCCAGGTACTGGATTTACTTCATTTGGATCCTACCAAGCTGGAGGCTGTTCTTCCTCCATAGCATCGTTGAACAGCAGCAGAAAAGGCAACTTCAGATCGGTCATAGCAATGGGCAAAATACTCACTGGTGTCAAAAATCCCACAGAAAGAATTGTGACGAGTGGAAAAGAGAGGATAGAAACTGGTTTTAACCATTAACATTCTCAACAGTAATTGGAAAGAGGCATCTGCTATAATTGGGTAAAAAGTTATTGGAAACTTTTTTGTCTTTTAGAAATACTGTTACTTTGCACTCCTCCGAGGGATGAGCAGTCATGTATCTCTTGGGGAGATTTGAAAGAAATTCCACTTTCAGCTGATCTTTGACTATGTTGTGGTTTGTCCATGTGTTTTGTAGTTATAAGCTTTATCAAATTATAAGAGATCAGTCTGGACAAATTCATGCTGAAATCTAATATTAGACTTTCTTTTTTCATGTTGAGTTGTAATCAAGGATGGGATCTCTAACATTTCCAAGACAGCATTTACTATTTCTAAGGAGCATGCCACAGTGGGTTAAATTGATGTGTGATGTTTATAATATTTATACAAATACAAAATTTTGGCAAGATATTATCATGGACAACAACAATATATGCAAGCTATTGATAACAAATTCAACAGTTAATAGTGTGTGTGAGGTAATCAAAAGTGAAAAAAGAATGCAACAGCTGAGTGAAGTCCAGTGCAGGAGGATGACAGATAAGACTATAGACTTCTTTGGGCTCTGATGCCCTTTGGAGGTCTGGCTGTGTTCTGAGACACTGATCAATGCATTGTGGTGTAGCTGTAGCTCCTGTTTCTGGAGTGATTGATCTGCAGGAATGTGTAAAGAAAAGGATGGTCCCATGTCTAAAATGGAGATGGGAATTGAGAGATGCAGATTCTTGATCTTCCGTTTTGACCTTTGGAAAATCATTTATCGGCAGTTTTCAAACATATGACAAGGTTTTGAAATGGGGAAAAAAAACCCCAAAGCCTACTGAATTTCTGACCTGAACAGGTCAGAGAGCCAAGGTCTGAGGGAGAAAAAAATCCACTGTATCTGTGATTTTGAAGAGGTATTCTAAGCACAAAGGTGTAGGGGGTGTTGAGAGGTAAGCTGGCAAATTTCTGCTTTTTCTCCTCTTCCATTGTAAGTGGAAGAAGAGAAGTTCCCTCAGAATGTTGAGCTCCTGTTAGGGCCTTCTAAAATTTCTGATTGCAAGAGTCTTTTCTTCCCTGCCCCCACCCCACAGAACGCCTGGGCAGGTTGGCCTTTTAAAGAAGGCTCTTGAAGTTATTAGCAGATACTGTCTAGTCTAAACTTGCATGTTGCTGTCAATAGTAATTCTTCTGAAATGCACTTCATAAGCTGCTTCTGAAGAGTATCCTTTCCTTGATGGCTGGTGATTAGGCAATCTGCACTTGTACCTATTAATTTCAAACAGGTTTACAAGGAGGGAATTTTGAAATTAGGGTCATTTGGGTTTTGTGCTTGACTAAATGGTATTTATGCCTTAGTCAGCACAGGTGAGCACTTGAAAAGCAGACAGCAGAACTTAGCAGCTATAAACATGGTTTCAGGAAAATAAAGGCTGCTATTTCTTTTCTCACTGATCCTCTGTAGTAGTCTTCCATTTGTTGCATGACTGTTCTCATCTGTTAGATTTGTACATTTGTCTTTATCAACTCTTTAATTCTTCTTATAGGAAATTGATGGCAAATCATTACTGTTGATGACAAGAAATGATGTACTGACTGGACTTTCATTAAAACTGGGGCCTGCGCTGAAAATCTATGAATATCACGTAAAACCTCTACAGACACAACATCTAAAGAACAACTCTTTATAGGGAATTGTCTAATTGGGGTCATGTTGTGCCTCAAATGATAGATAAGCAATTTGGTTTCGTGTGATGGAACTTTGTAAAGAGAGAATATATCTATTAAGAGTTTAAACCAAATTACAATATATATCCTATTGGATAGAGTTGGCAATATACTATATACTGAGTCTGAACTGAGAGAGGTGGTGTGTATTTTTTACATAGTACATAATGATTTTCTTTTTTAGGAAGTGTCAGTGAGCATGTTGAGATAGCTACATCACTGTAATCCAGAACAAAGGGGAGGTATGTCATTCTCATTTTTGAGCTGGACATGTGCTTGATTTCATTAATTAAAATACCAAAAAATAAACAAAACCAACCCCAAATAAAGTTTACATGCATCTTTAGGAGAGAGAAACCAATTAAAGTAGGTTTTGGTTTACACTAAAGACCTAAAATTTTACTACTTATAATTTTAGGATGGGACTGACACTTGCCAAGTCACCCTTTATTGCAGAGGGTCCTATTTTGACCTTATTAAGGTTTACTTGTGGTATGCTGCAATGTTTAAAGCTGTACATACAACTAACATAACTCCTTCGATAGCAGAAGGTGTTGCTGACAGGTGAAACTGGGTTGTGTATTTTTTGCTGTCCTTTAAATTTTCAGCTTGTTTTCACCTGTTTTTAATAGTAGTCCTATGTAAAATAGAGTTGGTTTTTAAAGGTTTGTGTTGCTTTGCAAACAAAGAAAGCTTCCTTTTATTCCTTTTTTAATTTATGATTGTTTTCTAACATTAAGCAGAAATTTGTGAAAAGTAAAATTCTGCACATTTTTAATATTGTCTGTCATTGGTGTTGTAATGATTGATTTTTTAATGCTTTACATAACAGTTTGAATACTTGTTTTGAGAACTGAAAGAAGCTGTCTCATCACCATACATCTCTGTTAAAAGAGAGTCTTGTTCAATCTGTTTGTACCAGTTCCCTATTTGATAGGTTGCTTGCTATATCCCAATAAAACATTGCTTATGTTTGGATTCAGTTTACTTTGCAGATCTTTTACTTCTGTTTCTTTGTTGTGGTGTATCAGAGCTCCTGTTTTTCTCTATTTTCCCATTAAAAAGGTACCAAAACCTACTTAATATTCTATGTTCTTGTGATTACTTTTAACACCACTTACGATGCTATTTAAAGATTTGATTATTTTTACTTTTTCTTATCTGGTGTTACACATTGCTGAAGGAGAAGCCCTGGTCACAGTTCACCAGTAACATCTGTGCTTCCCTTATTCCTGTCTGGAGCTGTCAGTGGTGCAGAGCTGCTGTGTTGGCTCTGCTCTGCAGAATGATGTGATTTACCCCAGAACATCTCAGGGACAGCCCAGGGATGGTGCTAAGCCCTTTCTGGGCTCACTGTCTTCTCTGGCCCAGAGAGCTTTGTGATGACCCCTGAGGTTGGGATGTGGGGTTACATCAGTGAGGCTGAGCAAAGGAACCAGGAAGTAGGAAATAAGCAGGACAGTGTGATAAAGTGGAAATGGTGAGAGAGTGCAGCTGAGAAGTGGTGCTTTCTGCCAAGTGGGAAAAGGATTCAGGGAGATAAGGGTGACGCTCCTGTAATCTCCTGCCTACGTGATGGCCCTGTCTTCACTCTGACTTGGCCAAGTGTGAGATGGGTGTTTATGCTACAGTGCTCAGAGAGTTGCTGGTGTTGAGATTTGAGAAAGGATAAAGCCATGTTAATAGCTGTGCCATAGGCAAAGCTCATGGCATATGATATAATACATAAACTCTGTGCAGCAGCATGCATTCTTGGATAGTTTCTAATCTTTACATTGTACCACATACTTGTTTGGAATTTGAGACAACAGGATGGAGATGTATTCACCATTTCTTTTTCTGTTCCTTGTACCGTGCTTACTTCAGGTATCGGTCTGTCAGCTGCAGGTTTGTAAGTCACAGTCTGAATTCTGCTTATTATTTATTGTTCGGTAGTGTCCAGAGATCCCTACTGGGAGCAGGGATCTTCTGGAAGACTAGATTAAATCGAGAGCATTATCCCTGCCTTGGGGAGTTCTGAGGTATAGTCTGTATCAGGCTACTTTTGGGCTGGAATTGAAAAATTATACATGAAACTCCTAAATATTTTACTATAGAATTAGGTATGTTTATGAAAAGGATTATGAAAAGCTGCATGTAGCAGTCTGGACATGCGTATCAGCCCTGTATTTTTAGAATTATTTTTGGGTGAGAATACACACTGCTGTGTTACTGAAGGACTAATTGGATATTTTCGTTTTCTCCATTTGCTTGTTTGGTGTGGGATTGACACACTTTATGGATCTAGAGAAGACAGAATTAAACGTAAAACATATTTATTCCATGAGGGAGTAAAAATCTCCACTGTGCAGACATGAGAGTGCATTTGATGATTACTGAGCACAGTTCTTTCTTTTAATATATTTTAATGAGCAAATGAATTGGGTTCAGAAACATCCAGATTGTATTCCCCTTTTGCTCAGCACCACTAACTGATTCATACAAGTATAAAGGCCTAAAGTGCTTGCTGCAAGTGTGAAAGGCAATTTGGAGAATGTTACTCAAAACTGACAATATTTTTACTGTCCCTGATATTTGTTGTAGTTTCCTACTGTTCTCTGAGCTTTCTAATGCTGCTGTTCTCTTTATGCAGGTGACCGTTCTGGTTTTGTCTCTTACGTTCTCCTTGCTGTTTCTGGGAAAACAAAAAAATCTTTTTTTAAGAGACTGGAGGGTTTGAAAGAGGAAGTCAAAGCCAGATTATTTTTAGCTACCATTCCTCTTGCAGAAAACACAGCTGCTGTTGAGCTGAGGAAGCGACTGATAGGCTTTACTGGATACCACATTAGTACTGCAGCTCTGAGTCGCAGAGCTATGCAGGAGTCCAATTTATAACACATCCTTAATGTGCCTGCAGCTAGGAGAGTCCCTCTTGCTTAAAAGCCCTCCCTCTGCTTTGGGTGATGGTTAAGTTCCCAGTGACCAACAGCTCAGCTGATACTGGGTGTGAGCATAACCATGATCTCTGTTTTCACACCAAACCACCATGTAGAGTGCCCTCTTTCTAAAGGCAGCGTTAAGGTGCAAAGCAGCAGTGAGCAACCCTGCCCAGCTGCCAGTCAGCACAAAAACAGAGCCATCCTGCAGCCTCCTCCTCTTCCCTGTCCTTCCTCTTACCCTTTTCATAATAGTAGTAGTGCACATCTATCAGAATCTTTCATACACTTCTAAAAATTATTTTGAGAGCATTACAGTATGGCTCTTCTGCTACACTGGTTGTGAAATCTATGTTGGTATTGTTCATCAGCTCTGATGGTAACTCTCAAGCTGTAGATTCACAATGAATGGCATGTTCTCTTTGCATCCAAATATAGTGCCAAGTACCACACATAAAGCACATACAAGGCAACACTCCCCAAAGTGAGAGGGTATGGCTGTGCCTGTCCGCACAGATCACTTTCTCAACCCAGAGAAAATTGTTCTGACTACTTGCTGTCATCTCCCATCCCTGCATGTTCTTGTTCCCAGTTTGCTCTAATGTGCTCCACTCTATCAATTTGTAGAAAATTATTTACTCTTATAATTACAGGACAAGATTTGGCAGCTGTAACGAAGGGAAGAGCCACTCATGCTTTGCTCCTGGTTAGAAATGGCCCAGGCCTTGTTAGGTCCTTGCTGTCAGTGATTACATGCTAAATGAACTCTTCCCTCTTCTCACTGCTTTTTCCAACATGTTCAGATTATTCCTCATCCTTTCACTCTTACTCTTTTTTGAAATCAGCATTTAATTGTTCTGCTGTCTTCAACATTCTTCTTTCCACTGTCACACTTAAGTTACAGTTGTTTTAAAATCAGAAGGTCTTACATTCTGTGAGTCTAGGGGAAGTTAAAAATTTATTTTTCATTTTTTTTAATGGCAATATTTTCTAAAATTTGAAGTCTGAGTAGAACCAGAGAAACATTACCTCATTTTGTCTCCATTCTGGCTCTTTACTTCCAAGTCAGAACAGCAGTTCCTTCCCTTCCAGGAATGGCTTTTGGCCCAAAAGTCATGTGGGAAATTAAATGACTGTAAATGTGCATGTGAGCAGTGTAACCATTGCTGGCTTAGGATGGGTAGAGCAGCATAGAGAAGGGTCTGCTCTACTGTCTTCTTCACCTCAGGGACAATTTACAGAGGCAATGGATTAGCTTCTCCTTCATCTAATGGAATGAGAGGACTTGGTGCTTGGGGATGTCAGCTGAGAGAGCCCATCTGTGTCCCATTCCATCACACTGAAGGTGTCCATACACTTTCACCTCTGCGCTGCCCAGTTTTGACAGCAGCTTCCTCAGGAGAGGTGCAGAGGACACTGGTTGCCATTAGCCCCCTGGCAGCTTTCAAGGGCAGTCTCCATTGGAAGAATGGGCAGAGTAGTTTAATAAATAGCTTTCATTCCTCTTGGGAAAGTCTCTCTTCTTTTTAATATGATATTGTAACAAGGGCATTATATTATTTTTTGCTTAGCCCCTATAATCAGGGAATTTATTTAGTGATGTTCATTTGGATCCCAGGTGTGTATTCAATTCTCAGAATAACATTGGTTGGTAATTGGTCGCTGTGAATTTGGGGAATGCAGCTGTAACCTCAAACACCTGGAGAACCCAAGGGGAGTGCCTGGAAGACTGTAAGTGGCCCTTGGTTTCCATGTGAGAGTTTGATTGCTGCTGACGGTTGCTGGTGAGTACTGGAGATCACTGTTGTATTTATGTGCTGTACTTGTGAGCATCTTTGTTAAAGGAGCAGTCAGCAGTTATAACTGCTGTGTCATCAGCTGATCTGCTGATGAGGCAACAACAAATGTCTTGGCACTGGCAGGCTTGCACTCATCTCAAAATGTTCTCTTCCCCTCTTTGAATGATTGCTGTGATCCAGCTGCCCCTCTATAAACACTCTGCAGCACTTGCTGCATTGAGGAAGCCTCTGACTTTGTAGCAGCTAAATCCTATCAAAAAAGGGAGGGAAGGCTCATCATTTCCACTGATCTCTGATTCAAGAGTAACATTGCTTTGTCTTGTCCTGGTGGATGGCGGCAGGAGGAAGGAAGTAGAGAATAAGGAACTTTTGGCTGAGTTTGTTCCTAAGCTGGTGGCCAAACCATAGGGAGAGAAGTGCAGGAGTGTGTGCCTGGGTGTAACAACGCTCTTTCACACAGATACTCCTCAAACTCTCTCCTCCCTTCTGTATGAATACCACATACCAGTTTGCCTGGGCTTTCCTACCTGGAAATATGCTTGTCTAGAAGGTTTGAAAACATTGCAGGAATACTTCTGTATTAAACTTCAACCCTTCTCTTTTTCAGGCAGATGTAGATGTTAATGTGGGAATTCACACCTAATGCCACCCTTGGGAAGTGGCAGACATGCCCCTGCAGTACTCAGGCACTCTGGTTTCTATTGTTATGTTTCCCTGTGCATCAGAGGTTTCTCTGCCTCCTTATTTATCTAATTTTGAGTCCTTCCAGTATTGTTTGGGTTGGATTTTTATTTTAGTAACACTACCCCAGCTCAGTGTTTTTCCTATTTGATTGCCATAGATCAGTCATCAGCTGATCCACTGTCATTTATACATGTATTTTATGTATATGTGTGTCTTTCTTAGCCTGCTGTGTAAGGTTCAATTTCAGAATCAGAAAATGTTTTATAATAGCACAATTTTGGCTGAGATGTAAGTTGACATTTTTGATCTTATAACTGGAGATATTTAATAGGTTTCCTTTCTAGATACAGCTGTGCTCTTTCCAGGAGGAAGATGTTTAGCTGTTGTGTGTACAAATAGTGGAATTCTAACTTCAGAAGAAATATATTGAGATTTTTATCCAGAAAGAGGTTTTTTGGTGACTGTAAGTAGCTTACTTCAACTTAGAATCAAGATTATTTACTCCTGATAAAAGCAAGATTAAATTAAAAAAAAAAAAAAAAGAAAGAAAGAAAAAGACAGAGGAAAAGAAGTAGCTGTAATA